GAGATTTAAGTGAAATAGACGCGCAACCGTCTACCTCACTCTAAACCCTGATCCGTTTGAACCGGTGACAAGACGGAATCAAGATGACCGAATGGGATCGGGCCTAGGCCGCTTTCTCCAATGCAGGTCAGAACACCGCCCAACTTACTATTAAATGACAGTAGTCTTTTGTGCTGGTACTAACGCACTATTTACCCTCACTCACCTTCAGTAGATGTTAAGACAAACTCGAGGAAACCAAGGCTGCTACTTCGGCTAATGCTATTTCCACTAATGCCAACTAGGAGTGTAGCTGAGTGATAGTAGTACTGGTACTATTTCTGGCGCTATGTCTGACATGTAACCACTCAGTGGAGTACTGTTGATTGAGTCGGATTGTATAAAGTAATTTCGGTTAGGAGGACTTATATAGCTCCCTATACAGGCCCTGAGAACCTGAACCGTCCGCAATACATATGTCCTTGCGCCGAATTCTCGGGGAAATAGGGTAAGGTTTGTTTTCATCATTCCGAGAAGAGAAAGAAGGAAAAGAAGGGGCAATCTCCGAGGCCAAGTTGTATTTAAGCTGACGTTTAGAAAACATCCCCACTTCCATCGTCTGAACGTAGAATCTGTCCTCCTGCTGGCGTCAAATGAGTGTATCTGACCGCTTGACGCGTGTCATAACTGTACCTGATGCTCGCGTGTCGATCGATTGTACCAATCAGCTGCTAGTGGCTGTTTGAATTGTTCGCGCCATCGCGGGCGCCTCCACGCGATCTGTCGCGTAATCCATGTGCCTTCTGGGCGTTTCTACCTTCTTCGCTCGCGGCTGCCGGTTGTTGGCGCTGCGTATCTTCCTTCGCCCGACCTATTGCTCAATTCTGAGCAGATGTTAGCCTTGTACGGAGCGCTTGGTAGGCGAGATGAAAGTCTATGGTTCAGTTAAGTGTGTTATAACACGCGCCTAGCGGTTACACACACTCATTTGACACCAGTAGGAGAACAGACACTACGCTCTGACGATGAAAGCGAGAATACTTTCTAAACGCCAGCTTAAACACAACTTAGTCTCAGAAATCACCCCTTCTTCCTCCTTCCTTCTTCCTCTTCTTGAAAGCTATATTATATCTGGACCTCGAATATTTGCGCATACTGAGGGCTAGGTTTATCGTTAAGATTAAGTTTGGGATTATGTTTAAGGTTAAGGTTGAGTTGGGGTTAGGGCTAGAGTTAGTATTAACTGTAGGATTAAGGTTAAGATGAAGTCTGTGATAAAGGTTTGCATTAAGACTGTTGCTGAGGTGACAATAGTGCGAGTCGCGAGGTAAATGAGTCATAGTTCACGGGCCCAGTCTATAAACAACTGCAACGACCTACCCAATTCAAACTTGGCGCCGAGTCTCAGCTTGGCCCAAGGCAATTAGACCCCCGGGGAGCACACAAGCCAACATATCGTCTAACGCCAGCGCCAGGGGTCCAGATGACCGAGTGACCATTACTCCCAAAGCCACCATGAAGCAGCAGTGCGGTTGCGGCTCATTCGACGAGACCCGGCCGCACATTCAAATATGGCGAGACCGAAATGCTCGCGAGAGGTGACAATCCTGTGTGTTACGAGTTATTTGGGGCATGGGTTACGGACCTCCGGTCTATGAACAAGTGCATCGACCTGCCCACTTCATATTCGGTACTGAGGCTCCATTTGACCAAGGCAAAGTGACACTCAGAAACGCAGGGGTGAACGCGTCGTCTAACGCCAGCGTTAAGGAGCCAGGTGGCCGAGCAATCATCACGCTCAAATCCAGCACGAGTGATGACAGTTCAGTAGGTCACGACCCGCATGTCGGCCATCAAGCAATTAGCGCAAAACCGGACAACTGTCCTCGATGCAGGGGGGGACTTCACTTCTCATGGGTATCGATTTCATAGAACATGTGCGCAAAAATATACCTTTTTGTACTTATTTGGTAGATAAGCACATCTTCAAGTTTTGTGCTCGGAGCAAGACCGTTTTTTCGGTGTTCACAAAGCTTTCCAATCCCTGAATAAATTTTAGTCCGATCTGACATTGCAGCGGTGTTCAGTGTACCGGTTATGCTAATGTTCCCGATGAAGAATCCGCAACGGACTTCGAAACGTCAGGCGGATAAAATGTCTGTCCCAACGATCGCCTCTTTTTCTTCTCAGCCGTATTTAGTGTTGACGGTCGGCAAGCTATGCAAGTTGAGAAAAATAAAGCTTCTCACCGTGCATAAAAGGTTCCTGGAGCTTTGCGTTGGATGTGGACTGCGTTGCATACTTCATAGGGAGGATTACTAGGTGGATAGGTACAAACCGACAAGACAGCGAACTCGTGACTCAATGGTTAGGGCGTTTGCCTCTATCCAGAGAGACGCGAGATCGAAACTCGAGTGTGGCGGTAATTTCTGCCGCTACACTGGGGTTGGGTATCTCCAGCTGACGACGACAAATAAGCCAGAAGAGGCCTTCCTGGAAGGCCCACTGTCTTTGTTGGTAATATATAACATAAAAACATGTTACTGAAACTTAACAAGTAGCATTACTATTCGCCTTGTAACATATACTTCGGGCGCCAAGATCGCAAAGGCATCAACCAGGATGGATGCATCCTGAAACAGATCGGTGTGCAATTAGCCTCTACTGGATACAAAGTTATTAGAATGGACGGTAGAGATTTCTTGCGAGACCGTTTTTGTCTGTGACTAATAATTTTAAAAAAAACTAATTCCACCTTCTCAGTGGGTCCAATTTCCGCCGATTCAAACACCTTGATTATGTTAACTAATAGGAGTTGTTCTGATATTGTTATTGGTCTATAGGCAACTTTTATTGACCAATAGGACTCTTTTGTCTTTTGTCTTTTCGTCGATTATATTCTTTCCGCATGCTTTTCATGTATATTTTTAGTTTAATAGAACAATTACAATCGGTTACTGTACACTTATCACACACTAAACAAGCATTATTTACGTCCTAATGAAACATTAAACAGTTAACTTTAGTTTCCGCAAGAAACTTGGATAGGGGCACTTTTGTCATTAGGTGGCATTTGTTCCAGTCGGGTTTTTATAGTTTCCTGTCGGAGTAGCGGAGTAGATGCAAAAAGCCAGAAGATTTCAGCGCCACATGCACAACAGTAAACTTACGAGGGCTGGCTGCTGGGGGGAGGGGGGGACAGCGTAAGCCA